ATTTAACTCTTTAAGGTATGTCAACAGCTCTGGCAGCAGCTCTCACACTGAAATTTTCATTTTCAATCATTAAAAGAAATTCACTAATTTTGCTTTCTAGAAGCTTAGTATCCTTTTTAGGCTTATAATTTCTCACCATATTTATACTAGGCTAATTTATAAACTTAAAAATTATTCTAACAATGTACACACATATAATTAAGATAGAAGCAAGGTAAGATAAACCAGAAATGGTACAAATCAGAATACAGTCTTGTATACAGTTGAAAACAAATTTTGTGATGACAGCTGAAATATATTTTATAGTTAAATACACAAGTGGGCGACCTTTGTTCTAAAATACAAACTAAGGTAAACAACGTTTAAGAGCACAAAAAATATTTATAAATGCAGACAGCTGTTTCGGATGCTCAAAGGGCAACCTTCATCAGTGCAACAGCATTCTTCATCTGTTGCACTGATGAAGGTTGCCCTTTGAGCATCCGAAACAGCTGTCTGCATTTATTAAAATATTTTTTGTGCTCTTAAGCGTTGTTTACCTTAGTTTACATTTTATAGTTGTTCCACTTAATAAATATGAACTGTTATTTAAGAAAAGACAATTAGCTATTTATTAACTATTTTATATCCTACTATTTATAAGAAGAAATGACAATGATCAGGAATTATCCCAGTGATCAATAATTACCCCATCTGTAGGGGCAACATTTGATATAGTTTCCTATAATCAATTATAATGTTTACAGTAGATGTGAAACAATTAAACAAAAGCTTTCACTACTTTTAGATCAAAGAAAAAGAAAGTAACTCAAAATATTTATTATTAAGAGAAGAAGGGGGATCTTTGCAGAAATGTTCACATTTTGAAACCTATCTTTAAAATGGAAAATACAGAAAGCAGTTTAAAAGATGTTTATTTTGTTAGATTAAACAAAAAACTATTATTAAGTAAATGTAGTTATACTTTAGTGAAGTGTACAAGCATTCTTGTCCATGTCCCAAATTTAAAACACAATTTTTTTTTTTTAAATAAAACTTAGGGGATCATTATTTACCCCAGAAACAGAGTGATTGTGATTACCCTGGATCACCCTAATTAAATTAATCAGTTAATAGTTTTTATCACTATTTTATAAAAAGTGAATACAAGACTTTTATTATTTTCTTTACAATCAATTTAATGGCTAATTCAATACAAATGTATAATTCCATTCATCGACCGGTTAAGAGTTCAATAGTCCGACCATTCATCGTCACGACTAAATCAAATATCAAAATCTATTTTTAATTATAAGCTGCTTAATTTCTCTAACCACAAATTGTTTTTCGTTATATTAAATTGTCATGGTCGTTTTTGGTGATTAAGCTGCAGCCAGATTATTTAAGATTTGATATTAATAACGCACAGAAGGCTTCATATTTTACTATAATATCTAACGATAACTTGCTCCATTGTTTCCCGTATCGATGTCCGTTAACAACTATTCAGGCAACGGTAATTTAAAATTCTTTGGCATTAAGACTGATATAATTATATAAAAATGGATATCTTAATCCCTATAAAGGGAGATGCTATTTATTATTTTGTTTTGTTGATATGGCCATAATTACTTCACTTTAAAAATACTCAGTAATAAATTAAGTCCTCATTTTAAAATCTCTGGAATAATACATTTTTACTACTAACACAATGTAAAACAGAAAATTCCCCTACTACAATCATGCCTCTCTTAAACTGGACATATAATGCCTCAAACAGAAATTTAAAAAAAAAAAATATCTATTGATCTGGGGACCTATAACTAAAAGATTTGAAACTTCGTAAACTGATAAATTGAAATATTTTTGAAGTTAGTTTAAATATTTTTTAATTAGTATGAGCAGAGTAAAGATATTAAAGTTTAAGAGAACATTACAATTAACTAGTAAGTCCTTACAGAATTATGATTGATACATTCAACTACATATTTAATCTATCTGCATTGTGCAGTTTATTTTCAACTGTATAAATTGAGCAAAAAGTTACAAAGAAGTCATTAAGCTGCAATTACTTACTTCATAGCTTTTTATTCGAATGAAATCCACAGAAATGGGCCCGGTTCGGTCATTGACATTCCTTACATATTGCTTTATTTTGTCCAATAAATCAGCAAAAAATTTATATCCTCCTTTGAGCACACAAAGTGCAGTAAAAGGTTGGTCGTCAAAATCTCGAGCTATGTCTCGGGCAAGTCTTTCAATTCTAAAACATCATTGAATGAAAATTTACTTATAAAACAAATTATGAAAATAAATAAGGAATAAAAACATATTTTCAGTTTCATGGAGACATTTTAGTTAGAGCTTAATACAGGATTTCTACAAAGTACCTATTTAATTTTCAATAGACCTACCCATTCCAAATTTTCTAAGTCGGCAATAGTAAACTTCCCAAAATCATAATCAATCATTTGCTCAATAATTCATTTTCATAGATAGAGAATGACATTAGTTAAGGCTCTTTCTCATTTAACATTACTTAGAACTTTAAATCTCAATAAATTCCAGAAAACTAGCAACAAAAAAAAAACTAACAGACCATGCAATGGAAACAGAATCCTGATGAATATTAATATCAAACAGATAAATCTTTTTCTATTGAAGCTAAAATGTTCTATAATTTCAGTTCTTAAACCTGAAAATCAAATGTTTCAAAATCTTTCAATAAGCTATTAGATAGCAATTATGGTAAACGTTTGCTCTATTTTTGACATTTTAATTTGTCCTAATCATTCAGACTAAGAAATATATACTAAAAACAAGACATTTTTCATTTCTTTAATTATCAACTATATCAGAGTAATAATTTTTGTTCTTCCAAATTAAATTGAATCGTTTTACTTCCATTTCAGAAATTAAAAAAAAAAAAAACATATTTTACCTATCTAAAATTAAACCACAAGGAACAAGCACACGATCTAAATCTGAAATATAATGACGAGGAACACAAAAAGAGTCTAAAGGGTATCCATCATCTTCGTCTGTAATCTAGAACAAATTGAAAAGACAAAACATAATATTATAACTAAATTTAATTTGTTATATAAAAATAAGTATCTACACTTAAACTAAAAGAGAAGTACCAGTTAAGAAAACAATTGTTATTAAAAAGAAAGACTTACAATTATATATTTACACGGGAGCATTTTGAAAGTTTAATATTTTTTCTTACAGAACAATTTATATCTTTTTACTCCTAACTAGCAGAATCGAAGAATGAAACCGTTTTACCCGGCCTGCCGTAAATTGTAAACAAATTTTATTTCTGCCACTCAATGCTATATTGCCAATTTCACAATTCTAAATTTCAAGCTGTTACGTAACAAAACCTGGTGGTCACATACGTAAAGCGAACATGCGATAATGAAGGGATACGTTAATTTCTCATTCAATGGAGCATTCTCGCTGGATGAAATTCGCATATGCGATCGCCCGTCTATGCAACGCGCGCAGGCGCGAACAGTTGCATAACAATTCGCGATCGCAACAAACTATAGGGGGCGTTGTTGTATGAGACGCATACCTGCGATTTCTATATGAACCGTCATTCAGTTACTCTGAAGACGTCTTTAATGTAGCGTGTAGCTTTGTAACGTTCCTTCTTTAATGTGGCTTATTAAATTTAAAAAAGAAAAATGTTTGATATCCTTTCTTATACAACCGAAAACAAGATGGTATCTCTTTTTTTTTTAGAAGGAACATCCAAAACACATCTGAAAAATATTTGTAAATAAACAGAAAAAAATATGTATCTTCTTATTAGAGTTAAAACCTAATGCCTGAGAAAAAGTTTTACTAAATTTAATGATATAACCTGAAAGGCCTATATAAACTTTACATTCCATAGTTTTAAGAATCATATTACTTCAAACATTAAAATAAGCAAAAAGTATA